ATCATAAATGCAAAGTCAGGGATAGTGCAGCTCTCCCCGGAACACCTAGCCAGTCTTCGCCAACTAGCAGCTTCGGTCCGCAGAAGGCGGTCCGTTTCCATCCTTACCTTGTCTCAGCTACTTGGCAAGATGATATCCTGCATAGGGATTGTTCCATGGGCCACCTACATCCACTCCAGTGGGCTTTGATCCCCTTCCAAAAGAGGTGTCTGAGCAATTCCACCCAGACTATGCGTCTGACACCAGAAGTCCACTCATCCCTCCTGTGGTGGCTATCCCCAGCAGTACAACGGGGGCTCATTCTGGGATCCGGACAGAGTAAGGGTAACAATGGATGCGAGCTTCTTCAGCTGGGGGGCGGTAATGAACTCCAACATGGCCCAGGGTCAGTGGTCTGCCGCGGATTTTCGCCACAACATAAACTGGCTAGAACTGAAGGCGGCACGGCTAGCACTCCGACACTTCCAGCATCAACTACAGGGCTGACATGTCCTACTTCTCACGGACAATGTGGCCACAAAGGCACACGTAAATTGACAAGGGGGGACACATTCCCGGGCCTTGTAGCAGGAGGCCCTATGGCTAGGGATGTGGGCGGAACGACACCTAGCCTCCATAGCCACAGAGCACATCTCCGGGGAGACGAATCACCAAGCAGACTGGCTGAGCCGAGAGACCCTGGACAATGGAGAGTGGCAGCTCACTCCAGAACTATTCCAGAAGGTCTGCCAGAAGTTCGGCACGCCAGTGGTGGACTTATTTGCCACACCCAGAAACGCCCAGTTACCGTTCTCGGTTCTGGTCCCAAGAGGCGGAGGGCACGGATGCTCTCAGGAGCCACTGGCCGGCGCGCCTACTTTATGCATTCCTCCCATTCCCCTCATTCCCAGGACGGTCAGGAAGATAGTCAGGGAGCAGGCCCAGGTCATCCTACTCGCCCCCTACTGGCCCAGGAGACCGTGATTTGCAGACCTAATCCAGCTGTCGGTCTCCCTGCCCTGGAGGATACCTCGGGAGGAAATCGCCTTGTGTCAGGGAGTCTTGGTACGCTTGACCGCCTGGCACTTGAGCGGCGACTCCTGAGGAGCATTAATCTGTCCGAAGGGGTCGTTGCCACCATTGAAGCATCTAGGCGCCCTTCCACCACCAGAATATAAAACTCCACTTGGAAGGCATTTGCGAGGTGGTGTTCTAGTCACAACCTTGATCCCTCCAGGGCCTCAATCTCCGTTGTCTTGGAATTCCTGCAAAAGGTTTTTGAGAACGGTCTGTCCCAGAACACTTTGCGCAACAAGTGGCAGCCTTAGCCACAGTTTTGGATGGGGAGGGTTCTCATATCCTTGCCCATGCGCCCCTTAAACGCTTTCTTAAAGGGGCTGCAAATCTTTGTCTGCCACCGGTCCATAGATTCCCCAGAGGATCTCCCTCTGGTCCTCAGAGCATTGACAGGGAAACCGTTTGAGCCACTCAGGATGGTTCATCCTTAAGGTGGTGTTCCTGGCAGCTATCCGAGTTGGGTACTCTCTCTTCTATGGACAACCTCTGTCAGTTCCATCATGACAGAGTGGTCCTCCACCTAGATCCCACATTCCTCCCGAAGATGAATACCCCATTCCATAGGGCTCAGGAGGTTATTCTGCCTAATTTTTGCCCGGATCCGTCCCATGAGTGCGAACGGCTCTGGCATAGGCTGGACGTGCGCCGGGCTCTCCGGATTTACTTAAGAAGGACTGCGACAATACGCAGATCTGAAGCTTTGTTTGTCTCTTTTCGACCGGAGTCCCTGGGATCTAGGGTTTCTTCCTCCACCATAGGGAGGTGGCTGAGATAGGCCATCATGACTGCCTACGAAGCATCAGGTCAGGCTTCCCCTGCAGGTATCACCGCCCACTCTACGCGCAGCACCGCCACGACTGCGGCCTGGGCCACCAAGGCCCCATTTGAAGACATCTGCCGAGCGGCCATGTGGGCGTCTCCGACTCCGTTTATACGACACTACCGGCTGGACATTTATGCCTTGGCTGAGGTGTCCTTCGGTAGAAGGGTCCTTCAACAGCTGGCAGTCGCCCCTCCCCCGGGTCCTTCTTCTTCCCTCCCTGGGACTGTAGCTTAGGTATGTCCCTGTCGTGACCCCTCCCTCTACATCACTGGAAAAAGAACGTTGGTCTTACCTGAACATGTCTTTTAGGTGATGTGGAGGGAGGGGTCACATTCCCACCCTAGCTAGTTGAGTTAGGGTCCGGGGGAGGGCTGTGAGGTCTCTCCTGGGGTCTCTGTGTGTTTTGTTCGCAGATAAGGACACTGTTCGCCATCGAGGAAACTGGGAGCCAATGGGATAGCTGAAGGCTAAGAAGTTTTCTCTCAGTCTAACGGACCAATCAGGCTGTGATAAAACCATGCCGTGGCCCCCTCCCTCCACATCACCTAAAAGACACGTTCAGGTAAGACCAACATTCTTTTCCAGGGGAAATAATTCAATTAACTTCAAAAGAATTAATCTGAGTCCCTCTGAACCCATAGTGCATTTCAAAACTTCATGTCCAAAGGTTGAATCAAGGCAACTGAACCAAACTTTGTTAATCTGATATTTTTCATTGCTCATCCAAGCAACTTTATCAGTCAGATCAAATTAGTTAGGCAGAGAGTTATTGGAATGCACCAATTCTTGCAAACCAATTTTAGGTGTTTCTCCACAGAGTGGCTTGAAGTATGCCAATGAAGACTCAATCATCCAGGCCAAAAGTGTCTTCACTGAAACATTTCAAAACTTCCTTAAATCAATACTTCAGTCAAAACCCATTCTGACTTCCAGTTCTCCTTGTTCCTTTCTAGAGGCTCACAAATCCGCTGCTTGGTCATCTTTTCCAGGATTTTCTTAGGTCTTCATTTTAAGCTGAATGGTCTGTAGTTTCCTGGATACATTTCCCCCCACCCCTTTTTGAAGATTGGAACCATACCAGCATTTTCCAGTCTTCTGGCTCCAGGATCTCTGAAAGATTTCACTCAGGGGTTCCAAGATCATATCTGCCAGGTCCTTCAGCAATCTGGGATG